GGATTGCTTCCCTCCTAACGACGAGCCGATTAAAATGACCGATTTGAAATTTTTCATTTTAAACTTGTTCAAATCGTGAAAATTCCTTCGTAGGAAAAAATGGAAAGAATTTGTTAATTCAATAACAATGGAGGAATATCTCAAGAAATTCAGTTTTGTATAAAGCAACGCAAGGTCTTCAATTTTATTGCTTGGTAAATTTAGTGTCGAATCTTCGATCGAAACGATTATTTTCACGAAAATACAGAAAGAACGTCATTCTTTCTCCTTCTACTAATTATTGTCTCATTAGTGCGGCGTTTTTATGCATTTACGATACAAATGAGAAGACTAAATACAAAACAGTATAAACGCGTGAAGAATTAAGAAATACCATTGTTTTATTTTCAAATAAATAAAATAATTCAGGAAAGAAAGAAATCTCTGCGTAGCTTCTATATCTTGTAATTAACACTGACAATTTTTATTTCGCATCAAAATCCGCAGTCTAGTCGTCCCGAAGAGATATTTGGTACACACTCTCAATATCTGTGTGCTTGAAAGGAATTTCTTTGGAAGTATGCACAGATCGTTTCAATTCCTTAAAAAAGAAATATAATAATAATTGCGTATTTCTAAACACGGTGCTTCACTCTATTAATTCGTGTCGGCGAAATTCAATAAATCTCTTTCAAATCCGGGTCGAAATGAAACCAACGTAAACTTGAACAGGAGTGGAGAGAAGTGTGTTAAGATGCGAAGATTAAGTAAACATGAGAATGGAGAAAATGATAGACAATCAAGAAAATTCATCTTATTCTCTTGATCTCTCGAGCTTGCAAGGTATAATAATGGTTTGATTTATTGTTTCCTACGCGCGGCATTATTTTCTAGAAAACTTCCGAGACAACGTATAATTCATAAGATTTATTAGGATGAAAAGATACAGAACGTTTTGTTACGAGCCCACCGTAGAGCTGAATGTTTCACTGTTCGCGTATTTCCAAAATATTCATAGATTGCCAAAATAAAAAGCACTAAACATAAACACACACACACACACACACACACACACACACACACACACACACACACATAGATATATTAATATTAGTAATTATTATTAATACATATTAATATTAATAATTATTATTTATAAATGTAATAAATAGACAAATATTAATAAATATAATAAATAAATATTGATAATATATATAAATACAATAAGTAAATATTGATATTAATAATTATTATTAATAAATATTAATATTAATGATTATTACTTATAAATATAACAAATAAATATTGATATTAATAATTATTATTAATAAATATTGTTATTAATAACTATTATTAATGGATATTAATATTAATAACTATTATTAATAAATATTAATATTAATAATTACTATTAATAAATATTAATATTAATAATTATTATTAATAAATATGGACTACTTCAATTCTTGTGCACGAAAATTGTTTCAAATTTAAGAGAATTTCGATTGGTCAAGGTTATTTGAAATTTGAAATTTTTGAGAATCAACATATATATATATATATATATATTGTGAGGATACAGAGGTCGCGGCAGGACACCTCGGCTGGGCGGCGCTGTACGCGGCGGCGTCGTAATAATAAATTCTACGCAGCAACGTGACTTATCCAACGTTCAGCTCGCGGGTAGGTGTGCGCAATAATTGTTAATTGTCGGCGCTGATACACGAGCCCGATAGCGCGCCGCGTTTCAACGTGTGCACACACGAGCGCGAGCCGCGGAGGGCGACTCGAGTTTTTCCGTGCGAGCGAGCAGGCTACTGTCCGCGTCCGGAGACACTTTTCGCGATACTTTACGGCTTATTAAGGCGCGAGAAACTATCCGTGGCCGGAGTACACCTAAGTCCCCCTGCGAGCCGGATCGCGCGGCGGCTCTAATACGAATCGGTAATTGCCGGCGCTGCCCGCCATGGTTCGTTGTGCCGCGGAATTTCATTTTTCCGCGCCGACGATTGTTCGGCTCGCTCCCTTTTGTCCGCCTCTGGAATTTTCGGCGGGAAATAGTTGCGCGGTGAGTGCGTCGATAAATTGGAGAACAAATTGGCCGCGAAGCCGACCGTCCATCTCGTAAATACCGGCTCATAAAAATTAACACGGAATCGAAGCGATTCGTTCGCTATAGCAGACGTCGAAATCTATTACGATAAATAACAATTACTCTTTGAGCATTTTTGTAACTCGTAGACTCTTGATCATAGATATTACGAGTTAGGGTAAAAATGTATTCCCTGGTTTTCAGAGTAAAGTTGCTTGATACGAGGACCTCTTCTAGTATGAGAACCTAGCTTATTTCGGTTACAGATGTCCCCAGTGTCCGCATCGACATTTCTTTGTTACAGATCAGTCGTATTTGAAAGGTCGTTGTCAATCGTATTTGGAAAATACGTTGCGAGAAGTTTTTGATGGAGTTCGATTATATTATAAATATCTTAAAAATGGTAAGTGTATAATAGTGTGTATAAGTGTATAATACAGATAAAGTGTATAAAAAGTGTATAATCATTTGCTACAAAGTACTATTGTATAATGCGTTCAATAATGTGTAGTTTTTACAAATTTTATATGCCATGGAAAAAGGCAGAAAAAATCCACTTGTGAAAAAGTCAAACTGAGTCTCGCATTAGGAATCCGGTTCTCACAAATCTGTGAATTTGCATACTTTTAGTTTTTTTCTTTATTACGAAGAAGCTGAATATTTTTTCCTGTATGTTCCAGTAGATTGTAAAAGAATGTATATTTTATTAGTTTTTAAACGTGTGCATCTCTACTTTTAATAAAAGTGTTCACAAACGAAAAGTATGATTTTTGAAAGAAATAGGTCTCGTATTAGGCACCTTTACGAGATCTTACTAAGCAGGTTTGCTTCTTATTAATCACGTAACGAAGCATTTCCAACAGCTAGCGCATTCGTGGTATAATTAGTTTCTGTTCTTTTTACCTATTTCAGCTGCTAGTTCAATAGAAGTACCGTTACACGAGTAGATTCTTGTTGCTGATTTTTTCCGCGAAAGATTTGGGTCATTGCAAATTTTTCCGAACACTCGATTTTCAATCGGCTCGTAAATACGAGACCGCATTTTCATTCCACGCGCGGAACAGAGACGTTATTTTGCACTATTTTTACTATCGGAGTATCATGATAGTTAGCATTTTTTTCCGGTAATGAATAGGTTCGATTTGACAATGTATTTTACGATAGAGCGGCGGGGGGGAAACATGATCTACAGATTTCGAGTGTAACGTTTCATTTTTGCCAGCATTTTTTCCTCCTATTAAACTCGTACACGATTTTCGTTTTAAGGTGCCGTTCGGTCCATGAAAAATTTAAGTTATCGCCACTTTTATCGTTAAGCGGCTCGTGAAAACGCTTCGCGGCGAACAGGTTCCCCGTATGCAGGAATTTCGCGTACCGCTTTTCGTTTATGTCGTGCATCATGCGTGCCGCGTTGACGGACTTGCCGCGTATTGAGCATATATCTCCCGATACTCGTAAAATCTTGAATATCCTCGCTGCCTTAAGGAGCGATGACGCGTATAGAGTGTCATTCGATGCGCAGGGTGTTCCTTATCAACTGCGGAGCACCGTAAATATAATCCTGAATCGTCGCTTGGATACGCACACAGAAAGAACAGAAAATTTCTTTGACGTATTCCTACGGTTATTACACGCGTCGTGTATCACGCTTTAATATGCTCGCGACAAGAATATCTGCATCTTTCGATCTCGATACAACGAGCTGATAAAACGTTTTAAAACTCGGCGGAGAAAAATGTTATTAAGAATTTCGATCTGAGAATGTATTTATTTACATAAAGTATACTCTGTCTAAACGCAATTCTTTCATTTTTGTGTTTGGCATTTTTCGTACCTGATTTTTCGTAATGATTATTTAATCGGATGTGAGAAATTCGTGTAAAATGTTCCGAACGACTTGCTAAAATTATTTTCGTATCTTCACGTCTTACATGGTATTTATGCTTTGTTTAGTGGAGCTAATTCAACAGTTTCGCTTTTGATTCAGTCGCAAGTTGCTAAACATTTCTTGCACGTCTGTTTTTAAAATATAATATAAGGTGTATTTTCGCTGAAACGATTGAATTTGATTACAAGTGAAGAATGTTCATGGTTAAATTAACCCTGCACGATGTCGCTCCTATTCACCTTATTCATAGAAAATTAATTGTATTCATTTAAAGTAGAGTTGTACACGAAAATGGACAATTTGGTAATAAGAGATACGATTATTCGAGCCTTGGAGTTAGTTTTTATAGTTATTGACAATGGGTAACTATAAGAAACGAGTCGCAAGGCTCGAATAATCGTATCTACTATTCCCAAATTGTCCATTTTTGTGAACAAGCCGAGAATCAATTGGGGAGGATTTACTGTATAGCAAAACTGGACTCAACTTAAATATTGTTGTTCAATGTTAAATGTTGTTCAGCCTTGCGGCTCGTTTTTATAGTTATTGACAATCGGTAACTATAAGAAACGAGCCGCAAGGCTGGAATAATCCTACAGTAATGTCTCCCCGACGCTCAGATTGTATACAAAATTGGGCAATTTGGGAAGAGGAGATACGATTATTCGAGCCCTGCGGCTCGTTTTTATAACTGTTGACAATTCGTAACTATAAAAACAAAACCGCAACGCTGGAATAATCGTATCTCCTCTTTCCAAATTGTCCATTTTTGTCAACGATCGAGCGTCAATTAGAGAGACATTACCGTACCTCTTTCCAAATTGCCCATTTTTCTTTTCAACCTGAGTGTCAATTAGGGAGAATTTCCTTTACATCTCAATAAAAAAGAATATATTTCTGGCAGCACTAGGAGATCAAACGATCTAAAACTTATCCAACCTAGACGCTCGTCCAAATCGATTCACCTCCATCCTCTTGTAACAAGAGAAAGACCGGACAACCCCGCACCAAAAATCAAATAGAAGATGAAACAGAACTTACCCAGCACGCAGCGAAGCAGCGGCAGCAGCAGCAGTGAGGGTGAGTTGTTGTGCGGCGGCGGCGCCTGCTGCAGGATCGGCAGCAACCAGCTCTGAGAAGACGAGGACAGTGGTGGTCGTGGTTGCGGCTCCACAATTTGGCACGGTGGCGTTCACAGCGTGGCGAACACTCGGCGGAAGGTCGTCCTCGTGTTGCAGCTGCAGCTGGGGGTAGTGGTGCAAGTGCAGCGCCGTGGACGCCGAGGCTGATCTAGGTGTGACGCAGGTGGGAGGCAGGAGTCCTGTTCTGGTGACAGCCGAGGGTGGCGACGGCGACGGCGGCGACGGCGGCGGTGGAGGATACTCCACTACCTGGACTCTGTCCGCCTCGTTCTCGTAGATGATCTCCTTGTCGTGCGTGTACATCACGGTCTTCTGACCGTCGTTGTAGATGAGATCGATCATCTTGTGCTCGCCGACGCCCAGCGTCGCGTTGCCGGCCGTTGCCTCGGTGACCGGCGTCACTCTGCCGTCGGTGTCGTCGCCCGGACGCTGTTGCACGTCGTCCGGGTCGCCCTGGATGTGCTGCTGATGATGGTGATGGTGGTGATGGTGGTGGTGACGGTGATGGTGATGATACTTTGGATGAAGAGAGTGCACCGATGCCGGCTCGTGCAGATCCAGCACGTTCACCGGCTGCATCGTCGCCAGCAACACCTGTTGCTCGCTCTCGTTTTGATTCTGGTTGCTCAGGGAGGAGGACGCTGGAGACACTGGGCCCTCCTGCACCTGGGGACACGGAAATCGAAACGATGATGGAACTGGCCGAAGAATTTTAAAGCGAGTGAGATGCATATTGCGGCTTTGATTCTGATTGTTTAGGGACGAGGACCCTTGTAATCTGGGTAAAGAGGAGGGCTAAGCGTGGCAGTCGTTTAATATAGATCCATTTGATCCTTTTCAGGCTACTTCTGCAAGGTCAATCTCTTTATTGGACCTAATAGCCTGTAATTGGAAGTATATACTGAACATTAGAATTTTGATGATACGTTCACAACTCTGGGTCCAATTGATTAAAACTCTGCTAGCAAACTTAATGTGAGATTTGATGGATTGTTCATTAGATGTTTTTGCCTCTAGACTATTTTGGGTGCTTATAGGCGCTTTGAAAATTGTCTTCTGATGTAATTACTGTTCGCGGCTACTGACGCCGAGCAAATAAGCAAATATTTGTCGCCTTTAACCTTTAACGTTTGGGTTCCAGGGGTTATTCAGAAAACACGGTCGAAAAGTGGCGAACAGCGTCACAGCGTTTGTCTTAATTGATTGCGAAGAGAATCAAGCGGCGCGATAGCGCTCGTCAAGATTGACAAGCACAACAAAAACAAAGAAAAAGGAGAAAAAGCAGCTATGCGATGTACGTGCGTCACTATAGTTTGATCGCGACATGTGACAGGTGACAGGCAAATTTGATCAGAAATTATTATTACCGTTAACGAATATATGTAATACGGTACAGTGTTTCAATCATTCCTATGTAAATCTGAAAAATACGTGCACTAATACATGTATCAAAATCTGTTATAGCCAAAGGGTTACAACGAACGAGATTAATTGTTGGAAATTCAGACTTTCATGGCAACCACTTGACAGATCTTTAACATTGCCTTGTCAATCGAAATGTCCGGTTTCGAATTACTTGGTTGAAAATTATGGAAATGATAAAGAATCTTTCCATAGGAAATGATTAAATAACTTTCCTAATTCAAGAGCACGCTGTAATAAAAGTGGCGAGAGGACTCATTAAATTCAGACTTGTCACTCTTACGTAGCAACGGTCGGTTACTTTTAGAGCTCGGTAGGTTTAATGTCAAGGTCAACGATGATCTTCTTATTGGACTTAATACAAACAGCATTCCGAATAGGTTAAATTAGTGTAAGAGCAAATTGTAAAGAATTGCAACCCAGGTGGAATAAAACAAATATTAAAACATCAGAATTTAGATGACTATGGTCTTACTATGACTAAGCTCTGCGTCCAACCAATTAAAACCTTGTCATCCAAAGGTCACTGCGAGCATCAGCGGGCTGTCAATTCGAATTTTTAACAAACGTTCGTTTACGATCGTGCTACTGTTGACATGTTACGAGTCCGGTAATAAATATTTCATAAGCAGGTGAAAGTCTCTAACGGCCGCCGGTGGAACGCTACAATATACAAAATCGACGGCGATACAAAAGAAAAGAAATTAATACAGGTTGGAAGCTGATGGAAGTTACGGGCACGCCAGGTCCACGTTGCTCCGTAGCCGCCGGTTTTTGTTGTACATAGTTGAACCGCTCGCGTGCGTGATTTGAGTCACTCAAGCGTCCATAACTAGGTATCATGAAAGAATATTCAAAGAAACTATTGACACGATCCAATTACGGCGCTCGGTTTTTGTCGGACGACAGCCATCCGTTTCTTGTGCAGCTTTTACCGTTTGACGAACGCGAGGAAAGGTGTTTCGAGCCAATAGAGACACTCTAATCGCTTCGCGGGCCTGCCTATACAAATGAGACATCGATCGGCTAAAATGTTCCGTCGCCGGCTGTGAAAGCGTACCTTATAAATCGGTGCGGGGCGCACTTTTTCGCGGCGAAGTACAAGTTGATACGAGAACAAAGGAATGCGCGGTGAAATCGATTTGTTATAGCTTAAAGGTAAATGAACTTGTAGTTTCTCCGCAAGTTCTTTTTCTTATCAGAAGCTTGAATCGTTTCACTGTCCGGCTCAACATCGTTGTTCGTACTTTGCATCGCGTCGGTATCGTTGCGGTGTGCTTAATAAGAGCAACGCAATGTTTATTTGCATTCGAATAGAGCACGCTAATAAACGAACTTCCAAACCGCGGTTTTCGATTGTTACATTTCATTTCCTAGCCTGATCTCTTATTATTTATGATCTCGTAAACAAATCTCCGCGAGTTCTGAGATAGCCGTGACAGTCGCCGATTTAACATAAAAACGAAAGGTCATAGGAAAATTGTAAACAAGTAGGGATTTACGTAAAACTTCGTTATATATATATAGTAATCGGTGACGGCGTCGAAAAAACCGAACGGTAATTAATATCAAATTACTCGCTGCACCAATCAACACCGAGTACAAATCTGACCGGCGATCGATCGACGTCTAGCCCGAGTAATATCAGAACGCGAAATAATAATTTCAAGATCGTACGATATTTTGAAACGAGGCGGCGGCGATCGGGCAAAATTTACGAAATTCTTCATCGTCCGGGCAGTACTTTCTCCGAAATCTTTTGCCGGCACTTGGAAGGGTTGCAGGGCAATGGTCGAGTTCAAGGACGCTCGGGACAAGAGGCCGGAGTGGTTGAATGCGGGCATTGAGGGTGGCGATTCACCGGCGAGTCGCAATTCATCGGGAGAGCGTTTGACGAGGGTAGATCCCGATGAGAGCCGCAGGTCGATTGAAGCCGAACATGGAGTAATAATAGGGCAGCGTTCCGTGAATAACTCCGAGAAGCCTTTTGTCGACAGGTGACAGTAGGAAGACGTGTCTAGGGCTCCGTGAAAGTCTTCGGACTCGAATCGAGTAAAATCAGGAAGATCGACACCCCAGCCGTGTACGCGCGCGCGAGCGAGCGCGAGCGCTTTACATAATTTCGACGATTACATAATTCCGCACGTGCGTCCAGGAAACGTTCGATCGGTAAACTTCGACATTCTGTGCCGAGAAATCGTTTGGACTTCATCGATAATATTAATCACGATCGAATTTCCTCGTAAGGAGCGTGACCTCTGCGCAGGCAAACGAAACGTTCGCGCACATATACCACGATTTTTCCATTTCGTTTCTCGTTTTTATTGTACGAGGAACCCGAATTCTATGAATCACGGTTTATGACACACCGGTGCTTCTAGTCCCGCGTCTTGCAACACGGATTAACATTTCCGAATGCTAATAACGACGCGATAAAAATCGCACTAATAACCGCGAGGAGACCGGAGCCGGTCCAGTCGGGCCGCGGCGATAATTAATCGCAGCCTCTCGGTACCGGGACGAGCAATATTCTTCTAATGTGAGCAAAGATCAAAGGATCACGAGCAAACCTTTCAGTTGCCTTTCTACCATCGGATCGCGAGGCTGGCGATCCTTTTCCGACTCAAAATCGAGACGAACACTTTCGTTTCCCCCAAACGCCGAAAGCGGGATCTCCGCTGGAAAACGCGGCGCCGCCAAAAATTCGACGATTTCAACCGGTCTACCATCGATCACCCAACTGTGCTCGACGGTTCTTTCGATTTAACGATCGTAACAGGATGATTATGCATCATCTCTCGCGGCGTTACATCCGTGCGAGACTTTCTCGTATACGAACCCCGGTGCGCGATTCGTAATTTATCGAGGCGAGCGCAACTTAAAGCGCTTCGGAAGCGCGCCGGCGAAGCGGTTTACGGAGAAACGGTGAAAATGAACACGGCCGAAAGGACGCGGAAAAGCGCGTGATTAGTCGGCTGCGGGATTTACGGCGGTCCGCGGTAGAAATGCTAGCAGCGTCGACGAGGAAAACGAATAGATTTCCACGCGGTTGTCGAACCGCGATTCGAACGACGGCGCTGGATGTCGAATATTAGCCGGCTGACTCATAACATTGTTAATTACGTTAATTGACGACGCGTACGACCGCGCGATCGTAAACGGCGACGCATGCTCCGCGGCCAAAGGGACCGAGATAATGGGCGAACGAAGTGGCCGGCGATAATTCAGCCCGGCCCCGCTGAAAAGCGTCGTAATCCAGCGGCACGTGGGAAATTCCTAACGACGTCGTTAGCGGGATGCGACACGCTTATTCAACAGGACTTCGGCGGCGACGTTCTTTGCCTCGGTATTCCCTTTTCATTGAGTCGGCGAGCGGGTTGATCGGACTGTTTTGCATGTTTTTCTTAGCGGCAGTCCTTGTTGCCTGTGGCGCTTAGGTGAATCAGTGTCTTGGGAAATTGTTTATGGAGTTCTTTCGCTAAGCGTCGCGTTCCTCTAGACCCGTGCGCTAGTTATTATTTCACTCGCATCGCATTTTAACTTTCTACGACGACAGCGATCACACCGCGATACAGACGACCTATTTCTCTGCAATTTACTAGAAGCTTTTTTTAGGGTTCCGGGTAACAGTCGTGTACATATATATATATATGTTCAATGTTATTCGATTAGTCATGCAGTAAATTCTCCCAAATTGTCCCATAGCTTGTAAACAAATGTGGATAATTTGGGAAGAAGAGATACGATTATTCGAGCCTCGCGGCTCGATTTTATAGTTACCGATTTTGTCAACAACTATAAAAACGGGCCGCGAGGCTGGAATAATCGCATCTCCTTTTTCCAAATTGTCCATTTTTGTTTCCAAGCTGAGAGTCAATTAGGAAGAATTTATCGTACATCTTAGCGAAGGAAAATATTTCCATCCATCTTTTTCTTGTTACAAGAGAATGGTGGACTTCTACGCCATATGTTTAAATACATATACATTGAAGGGGAAAAATACTTTACGGTATATTAAAGTAGAGTATATAAATGTCAAAATACAACAAATTTTCGATTTAGTGTAAAACGTTATTTACATAATTAAGAAAATATTTAGGAAGGTCGTGCGACATAAGTATTCGAATGCCTCATAAAATTCAGTCGAAAAGTTATAAAAATAAATTCTTTTTATTAATTTTTATTACTAATTTTATACTTCTATTGTTTAAGAATACGTTTCAAGAAGTTTGACATTTCAAAAA